AACAAAACTCAGCATTCATACCAGAAGAAATGAATGATACTGACAGTTTCAAATTACCTCCTTAATGGAAGGTATTTAATACATCTCTATTATTTTTTCAAACTTAATGAAATCTCCTTTCTTTTTGCATAGTGACTTTTCAATATTTAACGACAAAACAACTACATTCAGACAAAGTACAGAGAAGCCTTGGGAGAAATCCTACCTATTATTTAGCATTAACTTGGTTTATCAATAAAGACTGAAAAGCCCTCACATATTTACTGTTGTCAGACTGAGTTGGTAACATGTATGGATTTATTTAATTCCTGGACTATGACACATTATCATGCCATAAGACATTAAAGTAGTTGTAAATTAAAAAGACACTGATACCGTCAAAAGACAAAAGATAGTGATTCCTCCTTGCTGTCAGAGCTCATACTTAATTTTTGTGTTCAATAATCTCTGAGTTTGAAGGCTTTGTCTTATGTGGGGGTTTTTTTTTTTTTCTTTTGTCCAGGTCAAAGGTATACAGTTCCCATCTATTTGCCCCTTCAGAGATTTAGCTGCTTAATAAGACTAAAGGTCTGTGTCACATATTTAACATTCATCCACTCCCTCTACAAGGTCAGAAGAGGATCACTGCCTTTTTACTGATATTTAGATTAATTTACCTTCATGAGATCTTGTCTCCTAACCTCTGTTTGCTGCACTAGAGCAGGGGTTTCAAACTCCTAGGCCCAGTCTCAGCCAGAGTGACTGCACAATCTGACCTAGGACTCAAAGCAGGCTTAGTGGAAGAAGTATATCCATTACCGACTTCCAAACCCCGTGCCCTCCCACCATTGCCCTGTCTTCTCCTCCCCGAGGAGCTGCAAGGAAGCAGTGCTGTCGTGGGGAGTGCAAAGGGGGTGAGGGCGTTACTTCAGCTACCATGCAGCGTAAGGCCCCCCAACGATCTCCAAAGCCATGTGTTTGGGAGATGAGATGCTATGAAGTGGAGCGGGTAGGGCAATGGTAGGAAGGGATTGGGTTTGGGGGCCGGTAACAGACAGTTCCTCTCCCCCCCCACCACCACCACAATCGCTCCGTCCAGGATTTTGAGACACATGCATTAGAGGAAACTCAATGTTCAGTGAATAGTTATGTGTTCCAAAAGGTCCCTTCCAGTATAAAGAAAAATGATTCTGACCCCAAAAGTAGTCTCAGTCTATATACTGTTCCTCGGCTATTACAGGGAAAGAAAATTCCAAAAATTGATATTTGTGTCTTTATCTTTAATTTTCAGGTGTGTGCATTTGTTCACCATATATTTTTAGGTAAACTAGATTGTCTCAAAATTCTATAAAATTAAGCTCATCTGTTTGCCATTTTAACTAAGACTGAATGGCTTAATATGGTCAGTAGGTGTTATTTTAAGGATAATTATAACTATCATGTCTACAAATCTTATTTTTTTTCTTTTTTTATTGATGACCAATAACTGCTTCAGTTTTTGGACTTTAGGAAACAATCGTTATTCAAAAGCTAATCAGGGTTACTAAATCAGCACTCTTATTTAAATACGGAAGTATCAGAAGGAATTATAACAAAATAATTTTGGGGACCGTTTTTCAAAGAGAGCAGGGTGCTTTATTCAGATCAACATTCAATTTCATCATTCAGGTCAAATGTTCTGGCTCAGTTTATATAAAGTGTAATACAGTTGAACCTCTCTAGACTGGCACACACTGGTCCAGCAACATCTGTGGTCTGGCATGATTTCAGTTAGCCAGATGTCCACTTATAATGGGTGTGGTCGAGTCTCCTGTAGTCCTATAAAGTTTATTTACAGTCACCAATCCCGGCTTTCAGTGTGCTGTTCTGTTATTTAGCTCTAATTTCCCCTAAATGTCTTCTAAGAACCCCATAAACTGTGGAAGTGTTGGTAATGCTGTTAGACAATATTGACCTTCCATGGTTCGACAAATTCTCTGGTTCGGCACCAGTCAGAGTGCTGAACTTGTACAAATTTAAGAACGTTACATTGATACATCTGCCAAAAAATAAGCATATTACAAACACTACTTTATCTAATTCACATAACAATGTTCACTCTCCAGCTATCCTGGTAAGCTCAGCTGAGCAGCAGTAGAGATACTGGGCCAATAATTTTGGGAGCCCAACTTTACACAGATGAAATGGGTTTTATCCACAAAAAAGCTCATGATTCTATATATTTTTGTTAGTCTCTAAAGTGCTACAGGACTACTTTTTTTTCCACGTCACACACTACATCTTAGTATTCGGATCTGGTGATCACCCAAGGCTCTAAATGACTTCATCTGGAGATATTTCTACATCTAAGAGGATACACCCAGGTGCAGAACAGAACCGTATCAATCAGTAACTTTTAAAGCAAGTGTAAAGATTTTCCTGAACTCCACAGAATATTCCAGCTATAGCTCATGCCAACTGCAATCTGATATACGGATCTAGTTTTAATAACTGATTCACTGAGGCAAGACAGTAGAATTAATGTCCTGTCAGCTTTCATCTGCATTTACTGTATGCTCCACTAAATCAAAGAAGTTTCTCTGGCCCAAAATTGAAGGTAAACTCTCTCCATAGCTTTTCTCTACAAGAAAAGGGGGCCTCGATATGTTTAAGTGTTGATGAGTCAAAGTTATTCTCTTATTCATCAGAATAGAAAAGAAAAAAATATATTACTAACATATTAAGTACTAACGTGGTTCAGACGGTTCCATTTCCTGTCACAGAAATAACTGCAGAAAACTTTTCTGTCCATAAATAATTTGACAACATAGATGGACTTCACGTCTACCTGCTGCAGTATTGTGTCTTGCTGACATCCAGAATTGCCAATGAACTCTAAGTCTTCCTATCTGCCCAAGTATTCATTTTTGGCACCTAAGACTCATTACATATGATCTACTGTAAAGTAGGATTTTGTGCCCATATTTCAGCTCAACTGACTTATTGCAGAAAGATAGCACCTTCCTTTGCCAACTTCCCAACTCAACCCATTTTCCTCCCCCAGCAAATACTACACCGTACGCCTGTAGGCAGGCACCATAAAAAGCTTCTTTTCTAACAGACCTGGAGGAATGCAAATGGAGACCATGCACACACATCAACTATGAATGCAATGTAGTGAAAGAAGTGTTGAAATCGCAGTGTGTCTTGACTTTGCACACGTAATTTGGAGAACATGCCTCTGCTTACCAAGATTAAAGATAGATTAATTTTCAAAAACCCAGCTTCCAAGGCAGCATCAACGGAGATTTCTGGTGCCACACTGAGTCAGCTAAAGTGACACAAGCCACTGAGAGCATTACAAATGAGGTGCCCATTTCCTTTTGACTATTTATATGAATGTCTCCAGTGTAAGAGGCCAAAACACAAGCCGTTGCAGCCAGGTTGAATTTCATAAGAAAAAATTAGTAGGGTGCAGAAACTGGTTTTGCTGTCCCACAAGGGGTTCACAGAAATTATATGTAACCTCAGGGACTGTAACAGGTTGGAAGTATTTCCCTGAGACACCTGCTAATCAGGATCCAGCAGTACATTTTTGATAGAAAAAATTTGACATATTTCTGTCAATTCTACTTTATCAATACAGTCTTATATTTTTCAGTGCAACTCCTACTCCAAGTGACATCATTTTATAACTCTGTCCCATTGTGAACCCATCCTGTGCACTGAATGAGGCAGGGATCCTGTGGAAAAAATACTGTGTGATATGCATTTTCATTTTCCCACTCCACTCTACTGTGGGGAAGGTTTAAAAAAAAAAAACACTTCACCTTCGCTAATCTGCTGGTGAGGAAAAAATTCCTTCCCAACCCCCCTGAAAAGGAGCAGCCAGCTCAGCATCCAGATCAGATCTGGACAAAAGCTACCATTCCACCAGTTCCATAGGTAGAAGGGGGACTACTGCTCTTCCTGGTCCACATGAAACAGGGCTTTTCCTGAACAACACAAACTTATATAATTCCCCATCTCTTCCAGTCACCAGAGGTGAGGGCAGAGGGGAGTGAGGTGGACCAGCATTTCCCATACTGATCTGGTCTGCAGCTGCAGCAGAAAGTCACTTCCTGGCCCTTAAAGGGACATGCACCTTTCCCAACAAGCCAGACAATGATTCCCCCCGCTTAATGTGCAGAGAAACCATTTCAAATGTAGACAAGCCTTGTTTCCCATTGGAATCTAATGGAATTTGGGTACTAAGTGCTAATCATGCCCTTCAGAATCTCCACCTTTGTCTCTATAACAGCTTTCCCTCACAAACCAATGCAGCATATCTGATGCCAAAAATATATAACACGTTTGCTAGCACAGGATCAGCATAAGCCCTGGCTATGTTTGCAAACCCATCTGGCCTCATCTTTATTATGCGGTATTAGATATTTGACATCACTCATACATCTGGGCTCTCCAGAGGAACATGCCTTTTGGCTGGCGAGTCCTTAAAAACAGAATTTTTTCCCCTTGACATCAGAAGTTCTCTGAGTAGTAAGTGCTGTGTTTTTCACCACTATAAAAGCAACACAAAGCAATTCACTATTTGACTTTTCCTACCAAGAGGACAGCAATGATGGGCAACCGTAGGCTAGTGAGGGAGCCGTGTGAGTGGCTCTCCTTCATTTCAGTGGCGTAATCGAGACAGTCTCCTGAGAGAGGATAGTTTAGCAATTGTGTTTGTGTACTTAGAATCTGCAGGGTGTGCCAATCAAACCTTAGCAGCACTTCGATTGGATGCAGAGGGAAAGCCCAGCTCCCACAGTCAATGTGCTCTGTAATCAGCACACACATCACTTCACATGCCCTTCCTTTACATGCGTGTCACTTTAGTAAAAACTGCCTGGAAACCAGCAGAATCTGGTATTTCTACATGAGCAACAGGTAAACAAAATATCTCCTGGGCTACACACACAACCCTCTTGGGCTCCTCTGCCCACTCTGGAGTATAGCCATCGTTGCTGGTGCAATGAAAGGCATGGGTGCTTTGGACTTACCCTTGTGGACAAACACATCCTGAAAGACAAGGAAGATGTGCGGAGAAGGTGAGATTTAGCAGCTGATTCTCACAGGTTCTCTCTCTGCTAAGCTCCATATTAGCTCGTGGATTACTACAGTTAACATAGATCTGGCCCTCTGGGCAGCCTTGTACTGGAAAACAAAATAGCACAGACATTCATCATTCCTGAAGCTTCAAATTTAGTAGAAAGCTTTGAAAATTAATAAGTGCTGATTTAAAGCAGAAATTAATTTGACCAGTCATGGGGATGGTTTCATCTATAATTCCTGGTCAGATAGTTAACGCCATATAGTCACTGTGAGTCTGATTCAATTGGAAAAGAAAGGGACAAAGATTAATGTATTCTAATGAACCTCAGCACTGCTCCCTCCAAGTTCAGCAGCTAGGCCGGAGAACGTTCCATAATCCCTCAAGCACAGCAACGGGCAATACTACATGCAGCACAAGAGGTTCTGGCTCAGAACGGAGCCAAAGGGCTACATGTGAGCAGGAGCTGGGAGCTAGCTGTGGTGGGAATGGTGGTTGACAGGTAGCCTGAGAGCTGGGAATGAAGATTGGGCTGAGATTCCCCTATTGCTGGCAGGGATTCAATGACAGGCAGAGCAAGAACACAGGGTTGAATTATGCCTGGGTTATTTTTATTGTTTATTTCTGGCAGCCCTAACAAAGGAATCCTCTGTTACTAGAGCTGTGCAAGTGTTTGGGGGAAATCAAGGGATAAATCCTGGAGAATCCAGCACTTAGAGCATCTACAGTGCTTGCCTTCAGACTCTGAGTGTGGCAGCAGACAGCTAGGAGACTGCTGTATCCCGCACTGTTTGCAGTGACAACCTGCACTATGATTCCTTAGACTAGAGAGTCAAGAATCAGCCGTTTCAAAACCAACTGAAACATCCTGCACCTCACAGCAAGTTAGTCTTTTAGGGTTCATCTACACAGCACCCTTAGCTCAAAATAAGCTATGCAACTTGCACTACACAAATTGCATAGCTTATTTTGAGTGTATATTTATACAGCTTATTTTGTAATTTGGCGCTGTCTATACAGCACCAATTTCAAAATAACTTGCTATTCCGAAATGCCCCTTAACCCTCGTGGAAGGAGGGTTACCAGGACATTGGAATAAGCCACCCGTTATTTCTAAATCTGTTTTGAAATAACAGGCTGCTTCAATAGATATGGAATAGCTATTTCGGGATACTTCTGGTATCCCGAAATAGCTCTGCAGTGGAGATGTACCCTATGATGTGAAATGAAATGGAAAATTTTCACAAAGCCCAGCCCCTAACAATCTCAGGATCTACTTGTCAGAGTAAAGACACTATAGCACAAGAAGTTATTGTTATTAATCCTACACATCATTATAATTCTTGTGATATCTATGCTACTCTGAGAAGAAAGTAAAATGGATGGTACAGAAATAGTACTTAACTAGAACTGTGAGGGGAACAAAATGTCAGTTAGTAAAAACATTGGAAATGTCCAGTTTTTCCAACATTTTGAGAGACAAAACTGGGACTATGTTTGCTCCATGTGAGGAACTGTTGTTTACATTACATAATGAATTTAGGTTGAATTATCAACTGGAAAACAATCTGCTATATTAAAATATTGATAAAACGCAAATCTTCACAGGTAGCTTCTATTGTTTTATTCTAACCCTAATTTTAGCTATACCATAGGATACATTTCTAATGTAAGGCTCCAGTCCTGCCAACTGATGATTTGCATGGGCCTTTATGCCCTCACGGTGTCCCTCTATAATGAATGAGACAAACAGGAGGATCTGTTTAAGTCATCTCTTTTCCATGTCTTAGTGAGTCTTTTTCACTTACCAATGTTGTTCTTGCAACTCATCATCCCATTTTTGCAATGGCTGCAACAAAAACATATTAAGCTGCAATTATATTAAGCTGTAATTAAAATCAATAAAGTGTGAAATATTACCATTAATCTAGAATTGAAAAAATGTTCAAAATATTACTCAAAATAAAATAATTATATAAATATGTGCACATAAATATAACCAATAAGGGACTTTGTGTTGTCTTATTCAGAAGGTTCCTAATGTATGTGCACTAACAAAGTTTCAGTCTATATATGTGCTTACATATGTATTAAAAGAATAGAACAGTCCTTGTAACAAACAAACATTATTTAGTACAAATGCTAAGTTTAAAGAATAGAGCCCATGGAGGACTAACACAAAAATATTACTATATTACTAGGTCCAGTCCCATGGATAGAGCCCGGTGTGGACACACAGTTTGTATTCACATCCGTAGCCACAAAAACGAGCCACAGATTTCCACATCCATATCCATGAATGAGGATACCAATCGATATGTGCAGATTTGCAGGGCTCTACCCATGGATATAAATGGGAATTTTATCACTGACTACTATGACAGTAAAAACAAACCTTCTATATGAAACAGTGTATCATACACATCTTACATTAAAATATGTTACTACAATATAAAAACAAACACACACACATAGATCTGTAGCAAGCTATTCATTAGACTTCAATTATGGTAAGAGAAAGCCCCTCCTAAATAGAGTGAATAGTTACTCTTTACAAAACAACTACTGTAAATATTAATTCAATTGATTTTTCTCACTAGAAGCCCAAAAAACTGCTGAAGAGTAGACTAATGAATGAAATGAAATCCCAAAAGTCTCCAAAGATAGCTCAGAGCCCTGCCAGTCCAATAAGATAAAATGGTGTCCTATACAAAATAAAATCATTAGACTTCATCTCCCCAGCCCTACCATCACACGCTACTAAACAAAATTCATTCAAGGCTGAAACACAATGAAAAAGGAAAATAAATCCCAGAAAAAGTTAGTAACTACAACTATTAATTTTTCCAGACTCTCAGCCTATGTATATTCCTCTTTTTTTCCAACGCAAGCAAAGCTCATTGGCAGCATTACCATGCTGCTGCTACTTCTTAACTGTTCCTAACCTAGCTCATTAAATAAATGTCCAGTACAGAATATTTCACTGGATTTTCAATTCACACCTGACTTTTATTAAGACTTTTATGAATAAAGGTTTCAATTACAATGTGTCAGAAGAGTGGGGGGAGGGGCTCATATGCCAAGCTTTCAGCATCAGAGGGACTGAAGAAAAACACAACCACTTACAGTATTCCCTTACTACTAAGAAAATAATAATAATTGAAGTCAGTATTTCCCACTGTTTTGTATGTGCATACCCCAAAGAGGCAACATGCGACTAACTGGGGTGATACAGAATAGTCACAGTGAAAGCTTCCTCTCACATTACAGCATTAGCAATAATTGCAGCAAACATTATGCAAAGCAGCATTACAGACTGTGGCACTATCTGTACCTGTCTAACTCCAGCCAAAACAGTCTACTACTTGATGAAACAGTAGCAAATTTGATAGTGACTCAGTATTGGTCCTAATTCAGATACTGTGCTTTATTGATGGAGAATTTCAGCCAATGAATTTCATTACTATTCACATATTCTTCTGAGAGAGTTGTGGTCTCTTCATTTCACCTCTGCTAAGCAGCCAATAAACAAAATATCAAAAATGCCTCTGCCTGTACTACTGCCAATTTAATATTATAGCTGGAGCTACATATGTTTTGCACAATTATCCAAATGCATTAAAAGTACGGGCTCTGTCTTAAGGAACTTGCAATCTAACTCAGAGAGAAAAATATGGAAAAACGGTACAAGATGGAAGGGGAGGGTGTTTTTGTGGATGTGGGAGAGTATCACACTGAGTGGGGTTTTAAAGAAGGAGTTAGAAAAAAAAGACAGGAAGAGCACTTAGCAGAAAGTTAATGATAAGAGCCTGTTTCAAGCATAAAAGGAACACAAATCTAAAAGTGGGAGAAGACCAAGGGAACAATTAGAACAAAGAGAATTGGATGAGCCTGTTAAAGACCCTGATTTTTAGCAAGTACATAGCAGTAGTAAACATATTCAGTTCTGTTTTGCAGTTTTCTTAGTGATCAACCACGTAAATAGACACTATTACTCTAGAATGTCTCTTGGATCTGACCAGTTCTTCTAGACCCTCTGTCCATATAGTAACTCATACACAAGAAAGTCTCTGCATTCAATTCACATGCATAAATCCATGTTAAAATGTTGCTAGAAGAAACCATGACAAACCAGGAGACAAGCAAGAGAATCTTACAACTCTCTAAGGGTATGTCTACACTACCCTCCTAGTTCGAAGGCATACCACACTTGCAAATGAAGCCCGGGATTTGAATTTCCCGGGCTTCATTTGCATAAGCGGGGAGCCGCCATTTTTAAATCTTGCTAGTTCGAACTATCTAGCCCGTGCCGCGTGTAGCCGCGTGTAGTCGCGCGGCACGGGGTTCGAACAAGCCGGCATTTAAAAATGGCAGCTCCCCACTTATGCAAATGAAGCCCGGGAAATTCAAATCCCGGGCTTCATTTGCAAGTGCGGTATGCCTACATTACCCCGCTAGTTCGAACTAGCGGGGTAGTGTAGACATATCCTAAGAAGTCTACTCATAATGTGTTGTAAAATCCACTACTCATAGTCCAATATGCTACATTTAACAAGATGCTTCTAGTTAAAATACAAGGGTCCACATCACTGATGCAACGTCACTGAAGTCAACAGAGAGATGAATTTGAACTTAGAACTTAAAAATTTCAGTCAGCGGAACTCAGCTGTCTGATAATTCCAGTATGTGCACAGAGTGGCAAATCCTGAGTAGGAAATATTCATGTCCAGAAGGCTCCCTCAGGTAGTGCACCTCACCACTACATTCTGCACCCTCCTGTCTTTTGCATGCATAGCAGAAATGGCCCAGCTCTGTGTCAGGATACACTCCTCATGGGCATGAAGTCAGAGGCAGTATTGGCCCCCAAAATGAAGACAGACTTAGTCAAAGAACAGTTTAAATATTTATCTGGGTCAGTGTGTTTGCTGGTGTGCAAGCGTGCATGAGAAGGCTTGGCAAGCATTCACACTACGCTATGGAGTTTCTGCCAGTATCGATGCCTCATCAGGTAAATGGGAAATCAGACTTCAAAAATTAACTCGTGTTTTATTAACCAGCCAGGCTTTTTCAGAGACAAAGCAATCTGTTCTGCCTGTAAATAAATGACATGAAAATAAAACAGGATGTTTGAGGTTGCTGAAATCTGGCCATGCCCTAATTTACCTTTTCTAGGTAAAATTAATGGGTGAAAAGGACACATCTGGTAGCATTCAGAATAATTCAAAAAGTTTTCATATTCAAGGTTATGAATATATTGGGAATCAAAGGGCAACTGTGGGAAGGAAAATAACATACACCTTGATGGGGAGAGGCATTCACTGCTCTTGAGTTATAGTTTACAGTTAACCAACTTCAGCGGCTCAAGAATACAGGCCCCCTGCTCACTAGCCTTCATCTGTGGCAGGATGGGAACTCTGCCTCCACATTACTTCCCTGATCCCAAGTGAGTTCAGCAAGGATCCAGTCCAGCAAGACTGAAAGAGGAAAGCCAGGATGGGGTGGAGCTCAATCAAGGTTCTCTGCACCATTAATGTGCACACTTTTCTACTCTGTTGTGGAGCCCACTTACAGGAGATGAAGGATAAGCACAGCAGGGAGAAACATGGATTCCACAGGAAGAGTGCTGTCCAAAGATAGGCAGAAAGTCATGGACATTTCAAAGTTAGTTTATACATTTCACACTGAGACACAAAATAGGATAGGGTGAATGACTTGATAGAGACATAAGGAGAAAAAAAAACTAAACAAGGTGCATGCCCTACCATTTGCCCAAAGATGTGATGATATTTTCTCCAGGTGGATATTCAATTCCTTGAAAATAACAAGGGCACTCATTCCTACGGAGGAGAAAAACAAATAATTGTGATCATATGGAAACATGTACATAACAAATTAGAAGACAGATATGAAGGAGAAAAAAATTTCACACTGACCATTAATTACTGCCATTCTAAAAGCTGGTGATCTTATTCTGAATGGCATATTGGACAAAATCCTTAACATGTTATTGTTATTAAAGGGCATTGAGATGTGGCACCCTGAAAGTAAGGTCAGCAACTTTCTGACCTTATCTTCTATGCAAAGGTCATATAATCGGTAGCAATGTGAAAAAAATCTGAAGTAGCTACTTAAGATAAAAAGAGAAGTGATAATAATCCATGATGACTTTATTATTCTAGGATCTTTTTAAAAATCATAAATTACCATTTTTTTAAAAGGAAGCAAATCTCGACAGCCCACTGCATGGAAAAGCTGGAACACAGTCACAGAGAATGCCACGAGAGAGATACATGAGGCCACCACTTTTCCTTACATATAAAATGTGTACAGCTGTATGGAAAGAGATACAGCTGGAGCAGAGGGGAGAGCCATTCTGCCCTACATATTCTCTCTCCTAACCCCATGTTCATCAGGAATTAGTTAATACTTTATTAAGTGAAATTAAGTATCCCTTTTGTTTTCTGTGACTCTGATCAGAAGACAGATTCTGGGGTTCCCAGGTGGCCATTGTTTGTTGGTGAACGATAGACCCCATGGAAGGTAAGATTCTTTATGCATCCAATTAGAAATCCATGAAAACCTAGGACTGCAATCATGTACATTCCTGACTTCCATTTGTTTTTTATGGCCCTAATTCCCCAAACTGTGACTTTTCTATATTTCAGCTGCCCTGTACTGGCCCCTTAAGAGCCAAACCCCAGCCTGGAGCAGCCCCGGGGAGTTCAGCCCAGCTGGGCGGCGTTGGCCAATTAAGGCCCAGCTGGGGGCTATAAAAGGGCAGGGCTGCTTCAGCCAAGGCAGTGTGAGCCTGGCTGCCGAGGGAGCAGGACGCTCTCTGGAGCTAGGGCAGGGCTAGAGAGTTAGGCTGGGCCAGGGTGCTCGGACAGCCAACCGGCCAGCCTGCTAGGCCTGCGGACAGGCCTGCTGGAGAGACACCAAACCCCCGGAAGGGGGGCTCAGAGCGAGTGACTTGGGCACTGCCGGAGGGCAGTGTAGTGAAGAGAGCAACGCGACCAGAAGATTCCAGAGGGGAAACGCCACGTGAGCGGAGGCCTGTGCGGGCGGAATGGACTGATTCTGGGGACAGACGACGGACCCCCGCTACGGTGGTGAGTGACCCCCTCACACAGCAATAGAGAGGCTTAAATACTGCACGTGCTCTCAGCAGCCACCTGTATTATTGTTTTACACTCCATTGGTGAAATCCTGGCTCCACTGACATCAGCTGGAGTCAGTGGGAGCCATGAGGCTCTATGGCTACAGACTCTTTAGGTAAACAAAGCACCATGGGCCCATTAGCTTTCTCAAAGAAGGCCCACATTGAGAAACACTGGACTAGGATTTTACTAGGGCTGACAATTAGCACACATTAATTGCAGGTGTTTTGCATGGAGCCCAAAATCAGCACAATGCTGCCCCTCTGAAATGCCGCCACCATGGCGCTTCAAAGGGGCAGCGCAACACAGAGCCCAGGGTCAGCGGGAGCCCCAGATGCCCCCCAGCTCCATGCAGCACTGCCCCTTTGAAACGCTGCCATGGCATTTCAAAGGGGCAGCACAGTGCAGAACCCGGGATCCACTGTGCGGCACTGCCTCTTTGAAATGCCACCGCATTGTTTCAAAAGGGCAGTACAACACAAAGCCCGGGATTAGTACTATACACTTTGTATTCTGTGTTGTAACTGAAGTAAATATATTTGAAGATGTAGAAAACATCCAAAAAATGTTTAAATAGATAGTATTCTTATTATTGTTTAACAGCACGATTAATCGGGATGAATTGTTTTAATCGCTTGACAGTCTTAGATTATACTTGAAGGCTATGTCTACCCTGGCATGATCTTGCGCCGGAGATATGCAACTGCGGCTAAGCGTGGAATATCGCCCCGCCTCATTTGCATATTGAATGAGCAGCCATTTTTGCAGAAGAGGCACTTGCACCAGAAGGAGCTGTCTACACTGTCCTTTCTTGTGCAAGAAAAACCCTCTTGTGCAATGCCGCTATGCTGATTATTTTCAGGAATAACGGCATTGCGCAAGAGGGCTTTTCTTGTGCAAGAAGGGGCAGTGTAGGCTCCTTCTGGCGCAAGAGCCTCTTCTGCAAAAATTGCGGCTCATGAGATATGCAAATGAGGCTGGGCGATATTCCACGCTTAGCCTCATTTGCATATCTCTGGCGCAAGATCACACCAGTGTAGACGTAGCCTATATGCTTTTTTATGCTCAAAAAATATATGGCAGTATGATCCCAGCTGCATCAGTGTAAATGAGTAACACATTTGAAGTCAAATCTGGTCAAGAGTCACCAAATATTGGCAGCAGTCATTTATTTAGATGAATAAAAGAACTGAAAATGCACAATTTTGTTATAGCTGATAAATAAAACAGGATACAGCACAGCATTGCCTGTCTGTCTGTCTATCTATCTAGGTACTGCTGCTCTTCGCGATAGTATTTGACTGCTTTCCACATCAAATCACCAATGCTAGCAAAGTCTGTACCCTTATCTTGCTGATGTTCAAAAACACCCAGCATGTGAAGAGTGATCATCATCAATACCATGTTAAAAGACCTGGAGCTTTAAAATTTCAGCTTTGCATAGGGGTGGTCTGCTCTGCAGGGTAAATTTTATTGAACAACAAAAAGACCCCATAAATAAGGCACTCCCATCCCGAAGGGCAGATGAAGTATGAAGGCACCAGAACTATATGTGGAATTACTTGAAATTCAGTGGAGAGAAAAAATATAAAAACTGTCTTAGGAAAGAATATTTTTTTCCTTGCTTTCCCCATTGCTAAGAACTGGCCTTTCAAACTAGCACATCAAACTGGATAGGCTGAGTTTAAGAGTCAAAGGATTGTAAACCTCCTCATTAACACGATTCTATGTGATGCTGAAAGTCTGCCAGATCTAGGGGAGATGTATATTGTTCTACAGAATACAAAAAAGCCACTCATAGTTTCTAACCTCTCTCTTTGATTTGACAATATAAAAGTTCACATTTAAAGTGGTACTTACTGTCAGTGATGCAAGCTATACCTACCTCTGTACACATCTTTCAGTCTTGCTGTTCAAATACATTCCAACAGGACAAGCACAACCTTCAACACAATCACTGCTGCATGTCTCTGGCATTGAAAATGTTTGGCAGGTTTGACCACAGGTAGATATGCAGGTACTGTACTCCTTTGTGTCTTCACATGAAAGAGCTATCCAAATGAAATAGATCTCTCTAATTACAGTGCAAGAGATTCAAATACACTCCAATCTCATAAGTCTTTTTAGGGCAACACATTTTCTGATAAAACTTCATTATTTCTTGGCTCCCTGTTGCATTAAAATTGCTATTATAACACCACAGGATATAAATTACACAGTTGTATAGCCAATGTCAATCCAATTAAGCCAGTACATTTAATCCAGATTTACCCTGGTGTAACTGAACAGACTCTGGGCTTTTGTGTCTTTATAACTCTCAGCATGTTTGGCTCTCAAATGAGTGAGCAGTGCACATCTTAAACAAAAACATAATGAGGTATCCGAGGAAAATGTTGGTGTTTTACAACTGTTGAGTCACACAATCTGAAATTTTGTTTACATGCCCCACAAGACAATAGTCAGGGACACATGCAGTCTAGGGTAGTTCCACTAACTGAGGGATTGAGTACCATTACCAGAGACTCAGGTTCTTAAAGAATTGTAGGAGGATTTGACAACTTTCAAATGTGGATTTCTGCTGCCATGCACAGCTATGATATCAACACATTAATTCATAAATGAACTGGGTGTTAAAATTACATGGAATTCTGACAACTGCTGTTTCCTAATATCCAAAAGAGAAAATCTACTGTATTTTGAACTGGCACCAATCCTACCTTCTCACACAGTATACCTAGAATCGGAGAGAATTGATTCGGAATGCCATTCACAGTGAATGGACAACATATGGACAGAATCCTCAAATTCAGTGCATAGTGGCTGAAAGCAAACCAGCCTCTTGAGTATACACAAAATTTCAATATAAACTAACTCCAAAGGGATCATCCTCCACATTCTCATAAGCCATGAGTCTGAAGACACTTAAAGGAAGCTGGCTGTTGAGATTGGTGGGAAAGAGGAGTTAATGAAGCCTATGAAAACATTCCCCACCAATGTTTGTGGAGCCTATCCAAACTCCATCTTAGGAGAAGTTCAAGTGGTTTTGAGTCATTTCATATGTAAAGGCAGCGGGTCCACTATCAGCAACTCTCTGTACCACTAGATCAAGGGTCTCAAACACCCAGCCCGCGAGCCAAACCCAAACAGAGCAATTGCACAATCCGGACTGGAATCTCCGCAGGACAGGAGGGGGAGCCTGTCTGTTACTGTTCCCCAAGCACCACTTCTTGCTGCTGCTGCCCCCCCCCAGCCTGGACGCAGCTTTGGTGATCTCCTGGGGGGCCTGGCACCGCATCGCAGCAGTGGCTGGGACCTCCGCACTCTCTGCAGTGGCAAGAGCCTCAGGGAAGCGGCGCATTCAGTGGGAGCATTCACTCTGCAGCACTCCACTTCCCTGTGGCTCCTGCAACCTCAGGGAATGTAGGGAAGCCTGACCTCCAGGATCACCCTCTCCCGCTCCCCACCCCCAGTGATCCCCAAAGCCACATCTCTGGGGACTGGGTGCACGGGGGGAGAAGAGGACAGGGCGGTGGTGGGAAGGGGTGGGGCTTGAAGGACAGTAATGAACAGGCTGCCCACCCCTGCACAGCAGCACTCCCAGGCCGGATTGCACAATTCCTCCAGCTGGGGATGGCCCATAGGCTGGAAGTTTAAGTTCTCTGCACTAGACATTCAAATCTAAATAGAAATTTACTAATTTGGGGACATCTGCACACGCTTACCCTTCTTCGTGGATTTAAATCCCAACACCACCACTCCACAGGATATCCGCACTGCCTGTACTCTAACATCACCTAAGAGAAGGTTCCAGTGATTGCTGAGGAGGTGGATGCAGAGAGGGCTGGGAACTATCTAAACAGGAACTGCTAAGCTACCCCATAGGAATAGGTTCACTTTCAACTCCAATCAGAGAGTCATATTGTGAACCTTATAAAAAAATCCAGAGCCCCACTCTGAGTACAGAGAACCAGAAGCCATTTACCCATCCCATGAACTGCACCAATACAGACCTTTGGGATGAGATATTCAAAGCAGTTTAGGAGATTGAGATACACAGAAATAATGGAAGATGTGTCTAGATTCCCTAGCCTGCTTTGAAAACATCTCAGCCTTGGACTCTCAGAAAAAATAGTTACCTTCTCACAACTGTTCTTTTTCAAGATGTGCTGTTGGCATCCATTCCAATCAGGTGTGTGCGTGCACACACTCATGCTTGCCAGAAGCTTATTTTCTGCAGCAGCTACCTGTAAGGTCAGCCTAGACATCCCCTGGAGTTGCACCCTCATAGCACCTGAAATAAAGCTTTGCTGACCCATCCCCTTTTCAGTTCCTTCTTTCCAGCTGCTCCGACAGAAGGGAAGAGGAATGGGTGTTGGAATGAACATGAACAACACATATTAAAGAACAACAGTTGTGAGTAGGTAAGTAACTATTCTTCTCTTTTTCGAGTGCTTGATCATGTGCATTCCAATCCAGTGACTCTCAGACCCACGTTCAGGTGTCAAAGTCTTGCACCAATTGGAACACGGCTCACGCAAATGCTGCATCTCCTCTGGCCTGATGGGTGATTGCATAATCCTTCGCAAAAGTGTGGATGGAGGATGAGGTCCCCGCTCTGCAGATTTAATGAGCAGGGATCTGTGCCAGGAATTTTGTGGGGCAGGCCTGTGTCCTGGTGGACAGCACAGTGCGTGGAGCTGCAGGCATTTCTGCAGGATTGTAGCATTCACAAACACAGGACGCTGTCCAAGATGAAATGCATTGATGATACAGGGCTGGCCTTTCATTCCATCTGCCACAGCTATGAATAACTAGACCGACTTTCTGAACAGTTTCGTTTTCTCTATGTAAAAGGCCAGTGCTCTGTGGACATCCAGAGAATGGAGCTTTTGTTCTTGGCTGCTAGAATGCAACCTGGGGTGGAATATCAGCAGAAAGTTGTCCTGGGTCACGTGGAGCTGCGACTACAATGTTAAGACCCTGAATTCAGATATGAATGCCCACTTTTTAAAAAGGTAGAACAGGGAGCATGTCACGAATGGTTTAAATGGCAGTCCCCTCAACCTAGAAAGGACTACGTTGAGGTCCCAGGCAGGGAAGGGGCTGGCAGATTTGAAGGTAAAGTCTGTTGAGTTCTTTTAGGAACCAATCTACCATAGGATTTGCACACACTGAGCAGTCCTGCACAGCTGGGTAAAAGGCTGATATGGCCCCTAAGTGCACCCATATTGATGAAGATGAAAGTCCTTGGTGCTTCAGATGGAGGAGGTATCCAGAAGGAGCAGCACTGAGGCCAGCATCAGGGACAAACCATGTTGCACTGATCAGACTGAAAATCTCTTCCACTTAGTGAGGTAAGTGGCCCTCCTAGAGGGTTTCCTGTTGCCAAGG